TGCCTCTGTCATTGTGTCTTYGGATAAGCTGCCTTTGGTGCAGTGGCACAAACAGAGCTTTGGTGTTAGAAGACTGACAGCAACATGGGGCACGTCAGCTCTTACAAAAACCTCTGTTTTCTATTAAATCCTACAACAAAACKGATATGGGTTCCACTCTTCTGCATTATTTCCTCTCTATCTGTTTWGGGATCATCATCAGATCCTAGAGGAATTGTACCATTCCCTAYCAAAATCTCTTTGGCTAACTCCTACAGTGCAGTCATGTATTGCCCTCTTGTAAAGTGACACCAGCTTTTCCCAGTGGGTAGATCCACTACTCCCAGCAGGTTGCACAAAGGATGTTGCAACCCTRCAATTATTTTTTCTAGTGCAAATGCTGAAACTGGTTGAAGGAGATTTAGAAATCTACCCCATCTCTCTTCAGCTCCCCCCAAATTGCTTCAAAGGTCAATAAAATGCAGTTTCTCAGACAGCTGAAAAGCAGCGTCATGGAGTTTCCTCATTCCCCTGTGTTTCAGCACAGCAGGGCTAAAGCAATACACAGGCTAGTGCCTGGAGCATGAGACTGGGAAACTGCCACAAACCTGCCATGAACCTGCCCGTGGTGCAGCTCTGAGTCCATCTGGAGCCAACAACAGGGGCCAAAATGTGTTGGAGCAATGGCCCGGGGCTTGGGCAAGGGTAGTGGTCCATGCTGGATGGTGCTGGTGATGCAGAACAGCAGGTGTGACTTGGAGCTGTGGCTGCGACCAAGGACCCAAGAGATTTCCCTCCTCCCTCCCCACTGCTTACAGGGGGGCTGTACTCAGTGGGCTCAGCCCCTGCTCCAGGACAGCAGTGAYTGCTGCTCTGCTGGAGCATCCACTATCCTGCTACTCTGGTGTAGTTACAGAGGTAAAAATCCTCTGTTGTAGATAAAGATAGACTGATGCTCAGCAGGAGGAAAATCAATCTCTTTGTATCGGGTAGAAGATGAAGCTGAGGGAGCCTGGAKTACCTTTATGCCTATTTACTGTATCCACACTGGAACTGCAGTGCTGCGTTAGGACAGAGGACAAATGCCCAGGGCTGTTCCCTGTAGAGTGCCCTGGAGCTTGATGTCACCCCAGGGCAGCCCTCRGGTTGCTCTGCAGCATCCATCAGGCCCAAAGACATGGATGAGCATGTGGCCTTTATCCTGGGCCTGAACTGCTAGTCAGCCCTGAGGTGAGATGCTGTCGTGAGCAAGAATTGAGGGGAAAACTAATCTGGTTTAGGAAAGGTACCTGTCTTTAAGATTGCTTGGAATGTTCACATTTTTAATGCGGCATTTTAGAACGTTTCAGCCGCTCCCATTTGGAATTCAATTCCTCTCCCTTTTAATCAATAGCAGGCCTTAACAAAACAATATCTCACAGGAGACACAAGCACATGGTGCTGAACAAAGCAAAAGAGCCACTGGCTTACAGCAACAATTGCTGCTACACAATGGGTTTTCAAAGCTCAGTATATATTTTGTCCCTAGTGGGAAAACTATAACAAGACTGAATTAATGGCCAGGCTTGCCAAAGGGAGAAATTAAAGTGTGATGACTTGTCTGACACCTTGAAGTACCTTTATTTATTTTGGGGGAGACGACAGCATGGGGAAATRATTTCACCTATTAGGGAAARCTATTTTCTGCTGCTTTCTGAAGCKTRCAGCAGATCTGCATGCCTAAGGGCTTAATTCAGGTCAGGGATCAGGAGTACCTTCTGGTGGCTCCTGAGAGGAGCTGACAAGTGTGGGGATGCTGTCTGCAGGTCTGGGGTGGCGCAGGGGTGGATGTAGGAGTGGGGCTTTCAGGGACAGGATGGTCTGGGAGTCCCTTGTCGCTGCCAGGGGAGGTTTGGGGCTGGTTTGCAGGTGGCTGTTTGGTGAGGGAGAGAATAGGGAGATTCTATGTGAGAGCACAGCAAATTCCCTTCCCTGTACGTGGCTGGTCACCCCTGAGCTTGCAAACTTAGCTTCTCATCTGTGAATCTTGACAGCTCCTCTCCTTGCTCTGGCACTAATGGGTTTCAAGAGCTCCCAGTGAGCTGTAATCACCTTGGTTCAGGGCTCAGCTTGCACCTTTACAAGCACCTTCACCCCTTGCTGTTAACCTGTGGTCTCCTCCATTCGGCAGCTAAGCTTGTAAATTCATGTAACCAAATAGCTGTGCTGTTAACTGCCTGCCTGGAAGTGAACAACACATCCATCTTCCCGTGCCCAGCCAGCAGCCTAATGACACTGCTCGCCGTGCTTGTGGGCAGCCTTTCAGACATAACCAGCTCTGGCACTGCAAAAACAATTGTTTCTGTGCTCACAGGGGCCACACGGCTCATCTGGGCGGAGGAGGGAGGTTGTGCAGGCAGAGGGCTTCCCACGGACTGTCCCTGTGCAGCAGTGCCCTGTGCCRGCGTCATCACATTCCATGGTGTGACGGCTGGCCAGGGAGAGCTTCACCCTGCTGGTGAATGGTGCCTCCCACCCAGAGCAGCAGCCTACTTGCATTGGTTTTATTTTGGGCTGTGATTGATGTTCGATGAGTCTTTTTTTCAAAAGGCGCGCCTCGGTTTTGCTGTCACCTGAGTGTAATTTTCTAAAGGAAAGTGCCACCAGGAGGACAGCTGCTAATGAAACACTAAATGGTGYGGAGGTTTTCTGGCCTCTCTAGCTCTTGCTGAAGTCTGTGGCTTGAATCCTCTAGTTTTGAAACTGATCTTGTCATGAAGATTGGCTGAATGCAGACCCGGTTTCTTATGACTGAGGCATGCGACTGCTCTGTGTGTGTGTGGACGTGTCAGACCCCTTCCAAGTTGTCTCCATGACCCAATTTCAGCCCAGCGAGGCAGAGAGATGCAGCATTCACGGACAGTAAAATCYTATAAGCTCCGAGGAAATCATCAGTGCCAGCTCTTTCTCCTGCTTCTGCTGTGGAGGAGACTGGGCTCCAAGCTCGCCCTTTGCTGGAGACCCCACAAAGGAGCTCAGCCGGGGTCATTGCTGAGGGAAACAAGCCTTGGCTGCTTCCACTGCTGCTTGTATTACTACTTGTTATTGAAGGAGAAAAAGTGCAGCTTTGTGTCTGCAAATAACTTAGACCTGCCATTGGCAGAGATCTGATATGTTGCCTTCCTCGCCCCAAAGCAATCACAAGCAATCAAAGTCGGCAGCSCMCGAGCTGGCAGGGGTTGAATGGTCATTGCTTTTCTTTATTTGCTGCCTGCTTACCTGGCGCAACAGGCGCTACAAGAGAATTTCTTAATTAACCGGGCTCTGTCCTGGGCGGCACATGTGCACCGCCAATGGGCATTATAAAAGCGTGGTTATTGCACTTTGGCTCGGGAAAAGCCCCGGTGCAGATGAATTGTTGAGGAAACAGGAGGAAGGGAGAGAAGGAGACTGGTCTCCGCTCCAAAGGCTCATTGTTGTCTCSAAACGCCGCTGGACCTAACCTCGGGGGAGCTGGAGGGTTAATTTCGGCTGCCTTTGAAAACAAATTTGAGCAAGGCGCAGCAAGATCTCAGGGAAACAATGTTTATAATCTGTATCCTGCTTCAAACTGTACCRGCACCACTCTTCTGCCCCACGGCCAAAATTAGCATCAGTCACCCGGAAGCAGCTGGTGGCCCAAGCAGGAGCCCCTGCGCTCAGCATCCCTTGGTAGCTTTTGCACAGTTATGAAGAGAGTTTTTCCTGGCTATTGAGCATCACCTACTCTTTGCCTTTGCAGCAGCAGCAGCAGCAGGAAACTTCTGATACGTGGAGTCTGATCCCGTGTTTTTAATCAYGCACAGTTCCTGCTGATTTCAGCAGAATTGTTTCACGGTGCATAGCAGGAATGCGTCCCTCAAGAAGTGGGGCTGTCTTCTGTCCTCTCTGAAGAAGGGTGGGAGATGCATTGGTTTGCCAGCTCTGCCTGTGCACCATCAGAAAGCACACAGGCTGGGAWACGCAGTCCTCAGATTTAAACGATGTTGGGGATTTTGTCAAGCTAGGTAATATCGAACCGAGTGTGTTAGTCGATTAGCTCTGCCATCCATTAAATCCAGGGTGCTTTCTCGTTTTAATTCACTSTGCATAAATTAATGCACTCATTTCCTTCCTCCTTTTGAAAATGAATAGCTGCTTCTCCCTCCAGTCTGGACTATGGAATATTTGAGAAGTGGCAGTGCATTAATTTTTGCCCCAGTGGAGCTTTCCAGGRGAAACAGCTCTTCAGGTTGTTCTGTGGCTGCAATACATTTGAGAGAGCTGGTGTTGAAGTTTTTTGTAATTATTTAGAATATGAAGTAAAGCAAACTAACAGAAACATTTGAAAATAATGGGGGAGGGGAGGAATTGCTCTGCTGTCTCTCTGCTGTTGCAGGTTTTACTCTGACACACATTCCCCAAGGTAGAAACTTTTATCCTGTCTTTGTGACTGCTTTACTTCCTTTTTCTCCTGGGKGAGGGGGAAATGAATAATTTCTGCCCTCCTCCTGTTTCTTCATCTTCATCAGGAAAGAGGAGATGAACAATGCCAGGACCCTGATCATATGTTACTCTTTTCCCTTTTCTTTCTCATCACCRAAAGAAGGAAGAGGGAAATGACGGCATGCACTCAATATCCACTCATCTTATCATCCAACTCTTTAACTGCTTTTGTTATTCAGTGGCACGATGGTCTTTGGCTTGTTATTTACTGGCTGTTTAATTTAAATGTATCACCCATCAGGGAGCCAAAAGATCCAGTCTTAGAGCTCTTTCGCAGGATTTGTCTAACCACACTCTAMATTATTTAACGTGGCTCTGAGCTGTTTGGAGATTTCTTTTCCCCCTCATTTGAGCACTATGATTTGATTCAAAACATCTGTAAAAAATCACAAATGACCTTCCATCTGGGCAAGAGCTCAGCTCTGTCTTGAACCTGGGTAGGGTCAAGTGTGTGAGCTGTTTCAAAAGCCTAAAATTCCTGACGTGATGAAATTCTTTTCCTACTTGTTTGTTGACAGAAGACGGGAAGGGAAGGCAAGACAAAGCAAGATCAAGATGCTGCACCGCTGGGCCAGAAGCGAGTGGAACATCTTGTTACGGAAATAGCCATGAGAATGCTCCTCCCTGCATTAGAAAACCTGCTATTTAAAGCAGGATCGACTGCTAGTCCTCCTTGCTGCTGTTGTAATTTGGATATTGTGGCATGTGCARATAATATTTCCTCATGAAAGGAAACTTCCAGCAATGACAGTGCTCCTTTGGCATATCCTCTCCCAAAGGGGAGAAATCCACTCGTCCCTGGAAATGGCATCTCCCTCTGAAAACAAACTACAGGATCTGTGGAATTTTTTTTCCCCTCTAAGACTTTAGGCAAATGAATTTTGACCCACAAATGCCATCAGGGTGGTGCAAATGYGGCACAATTTCCTAGATGTGTTTGGGCACATGGGAGAGTTCTCTTAAAGCAAAAATACATGGAGAAAATGAACAAACCTATGTGACTTGAAAAAAAGCTCACTTTCCCCCAAGATATGCATAATAAAACTGGCAATACACGCCTTTGAAAGAGATATTGCTTTACCTTTAATGATGTCAGTGAGCAAAAATCCTTTTATTCTTGGCTAATCACAGTGGGGTGATACCTTTCAAATACTGGGATTATCAAACRTAGATTTTTCAGGGAGGCGAACCCATGCTTGGCTTAAGCGCCCTCAAACTTTTCTCAAGTTGAGATCCACATCTGTATCCCAGCTCTACGGCTCAAGCCTGCTGCTGTTTGTTATTGTTTGCATTACTTCAGGGCCCACTTAGGGATTGTACAAAATGTTCTTTTAAAAAAAAAATAAATATTGAAGTGTTCGTACAGCATTTGAGAGAAGCACATTCCTTTTGTGAGGTGCTGCCATCTGATCACTACAGAAGTACAGAAAAGAAATCTCGGGGGCACGTAGGGCGCTGAAGCTTGGGGAATAAATGTTTTTTCAGTGTTAGGGGCTAGGAGTCATCCTCATTTCCATGTAAGCCCCTGTGCAAAGTGAAGGGAGTGCATGAGACATTTGAGGAGCATTCTTATGTCCCATGTAAGTGAACTTAAAGAACTCACTGGCACAGGGCTTGRAAGAGAATTAGGCCACCCGATCCTGAATTTTAGAGGTGAGGATCTCTTATCATTCTAACAAGTCCTAGAAAAKAAAGAGTTTTTGAGAARCCCTGTTGCTGAGCCCTGACGGCTGTGAAGATACAGCTGAGTTGATGGAGATGTCAGAGATAGAGATCATCCTCTTGTCTCTCCTATATTTATCTCCTTTCCTCCAAACTCCTTGTTTTATTTTTATTGGGATTTTCTTCAGATGAACCCTATTAAACGCATCACTAGCRTTGAAATTTGCCGATGCCAATAAACCCATCTGTTTTATTAACTAACCATGGTCTCTGGAGTGTTTCTCGCTGGCTGAGACACGAGCAGCCCTTTCTGCTGTCTCCAGCACTGTGTGTCAGCCCAGGGAACAATGGGAGGGGACCCAGGAGGTCGCTGGCAGGAAGTGCTGCTTCCCCTGGATAATTAATCGGCTGGGAGACTGAGGAATGAAGATAGCACATGAGACACACACAGTACAAACCGCTAAAACAATAAACAAACAAACCCACGACCATCACTTCCTTTTCTTATATTGTTAAGGCTGCTTCCTCAACTCAGGTTGCCCCAAACCCACCCCTCAAAAGGCAGCCTTTTAGGCTCGCTAATTCTTAACCTCTTCACTGCCAGTTCTTGCTGAAGTTTTGGCACAAGGTGATGGCCAGCACAGGGTATGTGGCTCCTCCTTGGGGCTTGCTGGATAAACTGGAGATTCCTATTTCTGAAAGTGGTGAAGACACTTTTACCAAAGATTCAGTGAAGAGAGACTTAGCTTGGCCACAAGGCTTCATGGTTGTACACYCTGATACTGGGGCTGCTCCTCTGTAGCTGCTCCTCTGTAGGTGCCAGCTTCCAGATCAGTGGGTGACACAGTCTAKCTCTGAAGAGGGTAATTTCCAGAGAAACTTGCCTTAGAGCCAAGACCTGGAGAAAACCTGGATCAGGGCTTTGTGTCTCCAGCCCAACTTTCATCCCAAACCATCTTCTGGCGTGCTGTTGTTTTGTCTGTGTTAGAGGGAGGCCAGCCACACCACCAGTGCATGCTGTGAGCATCCAACCAAAAACTTCTACTGAGATCCTCTCCTCTGACTCCAGGTGGACTTACTGGCATGGTTTTCTCCCCATCGAAACCACTCTTTGGAGGAGTTGCTGTTTTGTTTTTTTCTGACCTGTTAACACCAGAAAGCGGAAATCGAGCAGTGGTAATACCAGTCCCCGCCCCCTCCAGCTGATTTTTCCAAATGTCCTGTTGAAGAGCAGTCAGAGATTGTTTTTGTACAGAGTATCACGTGTGCATTTATCCCATGGAGGCCAGTGGCACCCAAGAGCTGAGGCTGTGCAGCCCACATCCATCACACACTGATACCAATCAGTGGATCTCATTCTACCACGTCGTCAGCAAAACCCTGCCAGGGAGAAGGTGCACCCAAGGATTGTTGGGGACAGTTACGCTTATCCTGCTAGAGCTGGGAAATTTGATTTTCTGGAGAGATGCTGATGTTTCTCCTCATCAGCCTGCAAATCCAGAGCAAGGTGGCAGCAGCAGTACTTGGACTGGTCCCCTCCTGGCAGCCCTGGCGAGGGCTCTSCTGGGGCAGGTCCTGCCTGCTACTGCGTGCTCCCAGCTGGCAGCTTATTTGCTATTACTTTAAATACCCACTGTTTGTGTTAGGCATGGCAAGAARTAGAGTAAACTGAAAAGGTGACATTTAAAACACGAAGACTTTCAAGTAGATGTTTAATCTTTCTAATAAGGAAGTAATCTGCTAAATATCACATTTAACAGTTAYGCAGTAAGTCCATATCGTATAACCATAGAATTATAGACTCAGAGARTCATAGCATCACTGGTATATATTGGCATATACCATAGTCCCTGTTGTATACTGGCACATGTAAGGACTCAGTGTTTTTGAAGGTTTTCTTTTCTACTGCCAAAATCCCTCTGTGTCACAGTGTGTCCCCAACAGCATGGAGCCAAGTGGAGAAGAGATGGATTTGCACACTAAAACTTCAGTGGAAAGGAAGAAATATGGAACAAACCCTTCCTGAGCATAAGTCTTTCAATTTCAAAGAGCTTCCAGCAGCCAAAGTCACTTCTATGGCACCAAATCCCTGGATTCCACAAAATGATGCTGTGTTCAACCAACTGCAGAAGCAAGAGGTGGAAGAGTGGTGCTGTGGGAACAGCTTTGAAAGGAGCAGGGAAGGAACAGGTGTGCTGCTATGTCGGGGAGGTGCTGTCAAAAGTCCAGTTCCTGTTTTCATGTCATGAATCAATGCTTCCACCTAAGTGTCTGCTGACTGATTCATTCATTGTATGTCATGCTAACAGCAGGCTGCTGCTATATGCCTCTTTTCACGGTGTTATACCAAAAACCTGGGTTTTACAGTTAAATAGCTATAAAGTTTACAGTTTAAATAAAAAGCTGTTTAAATAAAACAGCTTCATTTCTTGTGGAAAAGATAGGATGTGTGCTGTTCAGGACTTTACATAAGGTATGGATGGTTTATCCAGAAGATTATGGAAACTCTTTTTTTAGGAAGCAGCAGTCCTTCTTTTTCCCTCTTTGTAAATTCTCAGTGATTCTGTACYGTGAAGTTGCTCTGAGAGCTGCAAGGAACAGCACAAGCAGACATGGAAAGTAGCTCCCTGTTCTCAGAGGACCAAAATACAATCCCTGCCTGACTGAGGCACTAAACATGATATAAAACCACCTTCTTTAGGAGCCCACAGATTCTCAAAACTGTCTGTCTGATGTGCTCGAGAGGCTCCTAAGAGTACAGAAGTTTTACTGGTAGTCCCTGGATTGGAAAGTCAGCTGTTTTCCTTCCTTTCTTTCTCTGTCTGCTGCATAGTCCTTGTCAATTTATTTAACATCCTGAGTCCATGTGAGACGGCAAATATCCCTTGGGGAATCACTGGGTTAAGGGCAGCATGCATGTTCTGCTGCTGGGTTTTCCATCCCTTGCACCTCTTAGAAGAGAGAAAAAAGCATCCAACTTCAAATGTTGAAACACACAATAACTCACACTAGGCCAGTGGGGAGCTTGGCTTGCATACCAGCTCTGGCTGTAAACCTGGTGGGATGGCTGAACAGGGAGAAGAATGAAAGTAGGAAAATATAGCTGGGAAATGTATGAGGTAACTTGCTTCCTTTGTAGTTTTGGGCAATGAGACTACTCTGAACACTTCACCTTTGTCTTGTGCCGAGTGAAAGACAAAAAGAGAGTGCTCAGATCTCATTTCCAAAGAGACCAGATCTCTAGGTGGGCAGGCTGCAGGGCACTGGTACTATTAGAAAATGTTTGGGAGTATTCACAGTCCCAGCCACTTGAAAGTTGAAAGCAAATGTCAGCTCATGTGTGGCATGCCAGRGTATTTTGACACAGGTAGAAAGAACGTCATAACATACTTCTTGATTTATCTACTCTGTTTAAGGTCACTCTGGCCTTTTGTCAGCAGAGGAAGAAACTCATTCATAAGTGGAGAAACTACGTTGTCCTGAACTGCAATAAGTCTGATAGAGTTGGGATAAACTTAGACCCCAAAAAATCCTGTTCTAAATGATGGGGCTGCTCTTGTTCAGAAGAGATTAACCTCCTTTTGTGAAACTTCTAGCATAAAGAAGACATTGTTCACAAAATGCTTCTAAACCAAATTTTACTAGCTGTAAGGCCTTGAACAAATGCATTTCGTGTTTGGTGGAGTCAGGCAAAAAATAAAGGACCTGGTTTTGCAGTCACTATACTTCTGTAAAGTGACCTGAAGGAACCTTCAGGATCAATATTCAGGTCCTGCATTTCATTGTAAGGGAGGCCATTAGTAATAATSAGTAGAATCTCAAGAAACAAACCAGCAGCAGAAAAGATATGCCACAGTTGCACTGGTAGTGGATGGAGGCAGTGGTACCCCACAACTCTTCCCTGTATCTGCATCAGCATGATGCCTGGGATGCACAAGAGATTTTGAAGCTCTTTGGCTTTTCCTTTCTTCCCCCAGGGCAGGGCTTGCAGGGCTGGGTGGGCAGCAGGTTGGGATTTGCAGGTGCTGAGTGATTGTTACATAATTGAATGGGATGGGGCTGGAGGAGGCTGGAGCTGTTTCCCCAGTCCTGTGCTCCAGTGGGATCATCATGCTCACACCAGGCTCGGGGCACAAAGAGGTTCCTGCTCCTGAGAAAAATGGCTCTGCCCAGCTGCTCTGGCTTTTTCCTGAGCAGTGACAGGTCTGCAGATCTGCTGCGGGCTTCTCAAGCAGCTCTGACACCAGCCCAAGGACTGCATGACTTCAGAGGAATCTTTAGGCACATGTGGCATTTGCCAGAGCTGGCGTGCCTGCAGACTGTGATGCAGGAGAGTTGTCAGAGCTGTGAGYGCTGGCAGATGATTGCAGCTGCTTTCTGCAGTGTGTGTGACCACAGCAGGGTCGTGGGCAGCAGAGAGATGAGACAGAAGCAGAAGATAAGTGCTGCAACTTTCTTGTATTCTCCCCCATGAAGACACAGCTTGATTCAACTAATGGCAGTAATTAGAGATAATACTTTGCTGAGAGTTCCATATATCCTTTATAATTAACCCCAGGGAGCTTATATATTTTTTTTTACCTACAGCAGCCTGTCATATGTGTGGTAAGAATTTTGTTGTCTTCTTTATAGTTTCTTTTTTGTGTTTCTGCCCTGCRTGCCCCACCTCCTCTCTGCTCCAATTCCATGACAAATTTTGTCTTTCTCCATCTGCAGATAAATGGAACACCACTGATGGAAATTGCCCACCTCTTGTATTGTGAGCTGATAAAGAGGAAGGGTGTTTGGGGCTCATGGCCARGAGTGGCACCTACAAAGTCACTATTAATAGCTGCTGTTCTAAAGGCGTGGGCCAAAAGTGCCATGGATGTGTTAAGTGACTTGGTGATACCAGCTGCTAGAATTAGAAACAATTCAGGATATTGGTGTGGTTGGTCCACAAAACACATCTGAGAAGAAAGTTTTTGTAGTTCCTGGTAGGGAGAGAAAGTTTTGTTTTCCTGGTAGGGAGATTAGCTACGACAGCTAAAGCGGAATTTAGGTTTAAATTTGGGCATTTATGCCAATTAATCATTTGCTCAAATGAGCAGTTCCTTACCTGAGAARCATTAATATGTCCAGAGCTGAAATCAGAACCCAGTCAGGATCCTGCTTTTCTTTTTCCATTTGTCTCTGACCCCAACTAGTTCACACCATCTACATCCAGTGAGAAGGATGTCTACTCAGTGGCTGTATC